TTTTGAATTTTATATTAAAGAATTGGTTTCCACAAATATATAAAGCACCACAACTTTTTTTTAACATTGATAATAATAAAACAAAATTTTAAAGCAGCAAATCAGCATATTAGATTGATTTCTGAAGGATGTGACACTAAAGACTGGAGTAATGATGCTAAAAATTCAGCTTTGATCACAGGAATCAATTAAAATGTAATATAAATTGTAATTGTGTTTCACAATATTACTATTTTTTACTGTATTTTGAGCAAATAAATACAGCCTTGGTGAGCAGAAGAGACTTCAGTAAAAACATTCAATCTTACTGAGCCAAAAATGTTAAACAGTACTGTATATATACAGGTGCACCTAAAAACATTTTAATATTGTGAAAAAGTTTTTTTTTTTTGTAACTTGTTCAAAAAGTGAAACTTTCATATTTTCTAGATTCATTACATGTAAAGTAAAACATTTGTAAAGTTTCTTGTTTTAATTTTGATGATTAGAGCTTACACTTCATGAAAGTCAAAAAATCCAGTATCTCAAAATATTACAATATTTACATTTGAGTTTCATTAAATGACCATCCCTACAGTATAAATTCCGGGTATCTCTTGTTCTTTTAAACCACAATAATGGGGAAGACTGCTGACTTGGCAATGGTCCAGAAGACAATCACTGACACCCTCCACAAAGAGAGTTAAGTCACAGAAGGTCATTACTGAAAGAGCAGCTGTTATCAAAAGAGTGCTGTATCAAAGCATATTCAATGTAAAGTTGACTGGAAGAAAGAAATTGGGTAGGAAAAGGTGCACAAGCAACAGGGATGATCATCATCAGGCACCAGCGAGAGGTCTTCCGACTCCTCCTCTCGTAACACGACCGACAGCTTCCTGTACGGCAGTTTGCTGGAGGAGGAGCCAGCCACGGCCATATCCGCTTTTGACCACACCCCCAAATCCACCACAGCCAATGGCCTGGCTCAAAACAAAGACACTAAAGAAGACAGACGTGCAAACACGTCTCAGATATTAGGTGGCGATATGGTTATAGTGCGGCCCAGTACAATCCAGGACAAACATCCTCCATCCGTGTCTTCAGATCTGACCGCGCTGTTACCCGCTGACCTCAAAGACCTACCTCACTCTGATGTCATCAGCCTGACCTCTGACCCCAGCCTGTCTCTGTCCTCCTGCCGTCTGTTCAGAGATGAAGCTTTGCTGCTTGTGATCTTCATATCCAACTGCACGGAAACTGTAATAAAAGACGTTTCGGTGCAGCTGACCTGTGAGGAGCTGAAGGTGTGTAATGGTCAGAAAATATTTTATTAATAATATACAATAAAATAAAATGGGACCTCTTCTGTCTTAGACTGTGAGTTTGAGAGGGAACGTCGTGGACTGTCTGGAGGCCAGGAGTACATCTGTGTGTCATTATGCTCTGCTGATGGACGACCCTCACACTAACGTGTCCTTTACCGGGACCGTCTCTTATCAAACACAACCGGGACACACAAACACACTCCCTTTCTCTGGGACACTGTCCACAGCAGACTTCATCAGGTAATGTGTGTCTGACACTGCATCAAAACTACTTTACATTAGTTTTCTTTAGTGCTGTCAGACGATTAATCGCGATTAATCGCATCCAAAATAAAAGTTTTTGTTTACATAATATATGAGTGTGTACTGTGTATATTTATTATGTATATATAAATACAAACACATGCATGTATATATTTCGGAAAAATATGTTGTTTATATATTAAATATATGTATATATATATAAATTATATGAACATAAATATATACATGTTAATACATGTACATATTTTTATTTTGGATGCGAATAATCGCGATTAATCGTTTGACAGCACTAATCCTAAGCATGTGCTGCAGTTATGTGATCTGTCACTGTATATGCCTGAGCTCTATAACACAGGATTGACTTTGACTGGCTGTCAATGTTTTTATCATTCATCAGTAGGATAAAATTTCTTTGAGCAATGTTGCTTGGGCACTTTCCCATTGAGAATGGGTAACAAATTTCCATCTGGATACTGTAATTACAGAAATTAATTACAGATGTAATTTTTAAAAATATAAGTACAATGTAAAAACATGTATGTACACAATAAGTTCATTGTATCAGTTAATATGAATTATTATGTAATCCAGTGAGGTTAAAGATGTGCACGTTGCAACCAATTTCAGGTTGCAATTTCTAATAATTTTTTTTGTTCCCCCCCCCACTGAATATAAAATGAAAGTGAAACACAAATACCAACAAATGACTTCAATGCATTTCACTTTGTTGCGAGCTTTTTGACTTTGAGACTTATTTAAATGAACTCATTTCTCTCTGTCACACACAGGCCTTTGGTTGTAACCACGGAGGAATATGGGAAACTCTGGCTGTCTCTGTCTCATGACGTCAAACAGAATCTGAAACTGCTCACAGATGCCGGCGACCCGCTCAGAACCACCCTGAACGCTCTCAAAGACGCCCTACAGCTACATGTAGTGGACATCATCGGTAAAACATATTGCAGTTCACTTACTTTCACGTGATTTGCAGTCATTTTACATTGCGTTTCAAGCTTGCACCATTACTGACTATAATTGACATACTATTTAGGGAAGCAGCCCTTCAGTCATGTGTTGTTGTTTCAGGCTCAGAGGGAATCGTAGCATGTCGGCTGCTCAGCGGCGCCCCCTGTCTCCTGCACTGCAGAGTGAACGGCACTGCTCTGGCCATGTGGCTGCGCTCTCCTCATCCTGCTCTCCCAGACTGCATCCTGTACCACTGCCAGAGAGCGCTCACACACCACTGAAGACCCGCAAACTCCCCGCTGAAACTTCCAGGGAAGCTCCTTGACAAAATGATTTCATGCAATGACCGTTTGAAAGCAGTACCTGTGTACTGCTTGTCTTATGCCCTGACTAATAATTTTAATGATATATATTTTTTGTACACAGTTACTGAGCTGCATTGTGTCACACTTACATACAGTAAAAAGTATTTATTGATTTTAAACATTTGTGGTTTGGTCTGTCCTGGTAGGTATATTTGTGTTTATTGGTAGGTATATTTGTGTTTATTTGCAGAGAAAAAAAAGAAATATGGCATCGTTTTCAAAATGTAATTTTATTCACTGTAGTTAGTTATCGGTACACTTTATTAGAGCAAAAACCAGAGTAGTTTTGCATATTCCGCAAAAGCAGTGCATATACGGCTATCAAATATTTCTCTTATTTTCATAATATTAGAAATATTTCAAGTGTCTAGAATTTATTCTAAAGTTTTCTCAGTTATGTAATACAGTCAACCTCAAACAGTAGACTACAGTAGATTATTCTTATAAAACACGAAACGAAAACAGACCCCATTTACTTTTTTAAAAGTGCACATAATTCCAAAGAAAATGTTTGTCTTCATAATCTTTCATAAAATCTTGCTTCACTTCTTAAGCATCATTCATCCATTTTTTGATTGACATCACCAAGACATCACTCATTTTTCAGCACCTCCCTCCATTCATCTCCATTCTGGTACCTATCAATCACTTTTCACAATACAGTCAGTTCCAGTAAATAAAGTTCTTTTCTCATTAATCATGTAGTTTAAACACGTCACATTATGGAAGTAAAATGGGTTGTGAATGGCATTTCCTGTTAACTTTGTAGTTGGTTAGTTTGCAGCACTACAGCAAATAATCACTTTAGTAGTATTGTAGATTAGATTAGTACATGTGACAAAACTGATGGTTTTTGTTGTCATTGCCCTTATGTCAGCATAAACTACAAACTTTTGAGGTGAGCTAGAACACTAAAGGGATAGTTCACCCAAAAATGAAAATAATGTCCAGAAACACTGTAATACCACAGTACTTTCTTGAAAGTGAGAATTCGCTTGCATTTCCTCTTTTTATCCAGAAAATGCTAATTTTCTAGTTTAACAGGTCAATAGTGATTATTCAGTTATTGGGAAGATGTATAAAATATTTGGAAATTTGTAAAAGAATATGAACAACTGGTAAAAAATCTACAAATGTACCAATTTATGAGTACATAAACTCTTTAAATCCAGGTTTGTATGGTTTTATTTGATCTTACGTGTCTGATTGTCCCAGTACTTACAGTGTTCTCAAAGTTCTCCAAGTTGAATTCGTTGGGTTTTTGGAAGAACTCAGACTTGTGCATGCGACCGATGTTCAGGATGAGGTTCGTCCCCTTCGCCACTCGGTAGCCATCGATGTAGTCGTCCTCCAGTGCCCGTCTCATGATGAAGTCCACCACTGGATGGAACCTCAAAGACTCTTTGATAAAGCGCTCTAGAACGTTCAGGTTCTGCAGGTCAGCCGACTCTACATCCCGCTTGCCTGACAGGACAAGAAAGACATCTTTTTGCATGCAAAAGGTAATGGGAAATTGAGTTAAACCAGTTTCTGATGGTTTCTAGTCAGTCCTTCTTGGACATTGGCTGGTCCACTGTCCAAGAAGGACTGGCTAGAAACTATTTGATCAATCTAGACCAGGGGTAGGCAAGTTCGGTCCTAGAGAGCTGCAGTCCTGCAGAGTTCAGCTCCAACCCTAATCAAACACATCTGAACAAGCTAATCAATGTCTTCAGGATTACTAAGGCTATAGACAGGTGAGTTATTTTTTCAGGGTTGGAGCTGAACTCTGCAGGACTGTGGCTCTCTAGGACCGAACTTGCCTACCCCTGATCTAGACCAATCACTTGGTCTAGATTGAACTACTAGTTGTTGGGGCCAAGACTGACCTGGTAGACCATCTTGGTCATGGCTGATTAGAGCTGGTAAGCCACCTTTCCAAACTAGCTACCATGCTCCTATCACCATGTTGACCACCTTAAAGATTAACTATATAGTTTCAGATGTTAAAAGTTGTCTTGTAAATGTTTAACCATACCTATCTGAGATTGTATCTCCTGTACGATCTGCTCCTCCACGGCAGAGTTCTGCTTCAGCAGGAGAAGCATGAAGAACAGACTGATGGAAAGGGTGTCTGGAGCGGCGATCACCATCTCCAGCACACATTGCCTCACATCGTCCGCAGACAGCTCATCGTGGTTCTACAGACACGTGCAGTAAGGTAACATGTTGTGTTGCTTTAATACAGGAGATGGCACATAAATAGAGTAAGTGTTCAACACACCTGAGCAAATATCAGCTCTGTTGTGAAGTCCGTCTCATCCAGCTTCTCCATGTTATTGATGGCCTGTCGCTTCTGCTCCACAAGCTTTCCCATTTCATCCTGCAGCTCTTTTCTGCAAGAAAACACTTCTTAAATGGTATTTATAGAGCTTTTAGTGATTTCTGAATTTATGCCACTAAATTAGACTTCACCAATCAAATTAGAGGGAATTTGCATAATCCTTAAAGGTACAGTGGCAAAAATGGCTTTTACTTCTACACGTCAAAGAGAGTCATTTTGTTATTAATACAAAAAACCTTGACACCATACAGTACATACAAATGATAAAGTCTGAGGTGGACTCACGCTGCCAGGTGGTATTTTTTGTACACAAAGTTTAGTCTGAAGAAAACGTCTGGCTGTATGAGAACTGCCTGCCAGGTACTGAAATACCGGTGGATCTTTATCAGCAAGTCTTTCTCTGTATTGAACAAGCATAACGAAAGATTATGCTTACTGTGAAAAATTCTAATTTATAACTGCCTTTCAAGGTCATTTATATTTTATCGGAAGCAGTGTTGGGGGGACACATTACAAGTACCATGCGTTACGTAATCAGATTACTTTTTTCAAGTAACTAGTAAAATATCTTGAGTTACTTTTTCAAATAAGTTTTCCCATTTTCTCATTGACATGTCCTTCAGCCTGAGGGTTATGCATTTCACTTTAGGTGTGAAAAGGCCTTTACAGTTGCCAAAAATATAACTTTTGGGTTATTCTTTACTAAAAAAAACAAGCAAGCAAGTCCAGCCCAGGTGACAGAAAGTAATGCCATAAATGCATGTAATTCCATAAAAAGTAAGTGACAATTATTTACTTTTTATGGAGTGACGCAATATTGTAATGTATTACTTTTAAAAGTAACTTTCCCCAACACCCATCAGAAGTACTAAAAATGAGAGTTTTACAGCCTTTTCCTTTGTTAATATACATAATTGAATCAATCCGATCAAAATAACCATATATTTTTAAGAGTGCTTGTATTTCAGTCTGACCATTGAGAGGGATTCTTAAGAAGAGTCTATTGGAAACATCGACAACGATACAGCGCAGAAGATTGAGTACATCCACATATCCCGAGTGGTCTGTGAACTCCTGCAGGACGTTAAGCTGTTTGTTGGTCGCGCTGACACACACATCTACTGATTTCTGAAGACCCGGACCTGTAAGAGCTAGAGTACACACACACATAAACAATAGATTCTGATGAATGTGTGTATGAACTGTTCTGAGACCAGTTTCAGTGAATAACACCCACCTTTGGTGAAATATGTTCTCACTTTCTTCCACAATGCGATGTTGCTGTTGAAGATAATGCCTTGTTCAAACATACCAATGCACTGCAGACCTTTTTTACTGGCAAACCTCCCAGTGTAATTATTGCTCTTCAGAACATGATACACGGCAGAGGACCTGAAACAGTTTTAAATTTTTCACACTAAAAATAGTGCCCTCAGGTGTTGCATTCCTCATTTGAGGCAACACTTAGTGACATAATTAGGTTGTATGGACTTGAGTAGCAGACTGTGCTAATAAAAATCATGTTTTGGCCTTATGGGGGGCGCTCTTGAGCACCTTTTTGAACCATGAAATTACTTGATCTGCAACAGCTATTCAGTAAAATTTATAATAATCCATAATGAGTATAATCAACAACAAATTTCATTATCAGTTAAGGTGCGGTGACATTGACGGTTGTTCAACAATTTTTCACAGAAGAAATCCAGTAGAAATCAATGTAATTGGGATTTTTCCGTAAGAGCGAAAAAATCATTTGCAGAGAACCTCCATTGTTAACTAGTTGTTTTAAAGTTTTAAAATGTATACATTTGTAAATCAATTACTTTTGAAACAATTTAGTTCAAGTCGCTGTTTTTAACGTTAATTTGAATTTTAATTAATACTTTTGTATTTTGAATTCAGCTGTGAATATTCTGGAACAAATGGCAACATTTAAAGGGATAGTTCACCCAAAAATGAAAATTTGATGTTTATCTGCTTACCCCCAGGGCATCCAAGATGTAGGTGAATTTGTTTCTTCAGTAGAACACAAACGAAGATTTTTAACTCAAACCGTTGCAGTCTGTCAGTCTTCTAATGGAAGTGAATGGGAATCACGGCTTTGAGAGTCAAAAAAACATTCACAAACAAAACCAAATTAAACCCTGCGGCTCGTGACGATACATTGATGTGTAAAGACACGAAACGATCAGTCTGTGCAAGAAACTGAACAGTATATATATTGTTTTTTACCTCTAATGCACTGCAATGTCTGAACTGTCCTGAGCGCGTCCTCGACAGCCGGTGCCTGACGCGTCGTCTTCTTCGCAGACTTGCACACATTGCCTCACATCGTCCGCAGACAGCTCATCGTGGTTCTACAGACACGTGCAGTAAGGTAACATGTTGTGTTGCTTTAATACAGGAGATGGCACATAAATAGAGTAAGTGTTCAACACACCTGAGCAAATATCAGCTCTGTTGTGAAGTCCGTCTCATCCAGCTTCTCCATGTTATTGATGGCCTGTCGCTTCTGCTCCACAAGCTTTCCCATTTCATCCTGCAGCTCTTTTCTGCAAGAAAACACTTCTTAAATGGTATTTATAGAGCTTTTAGTGATTTCTGAATTTATGCCACTAAATTAGACTTCACCAATCAAATTAGAGGGAATTTGCATAATCCTTAAAGGTACAGTGGCAAAAATGGCTTTTACTTCTACACGTCAAAGAGAGTCATTTTGTTATTAATACAAAAAACCTTGACACCATACAGTACATACAAATGATAAAGTCTGAGGTGGACTCACGCTGCCAGGTGGTATTTTTTGTACACAAAGTTTAGTCTGAAGAAAACGTCTGGCTGTATGAGAACTGCCTGCCAGGTACTGAAATACCGGTGGATCTTTATCAGCAAGTCTTTCTCTGTATTGAACAAGCATAACGAAAGATTATGCTTACTGTGAAAAATTCTAATTTATAACTGCCTTTCAAGGTCATTTATATTTTATCGGAAGCAGTGTTGGGGGGACACATTACAAGTACCATGCGTTACGTAATCAGATTACTTTTTTCAAGTAACTAGTAAAATATCTTGAGTTACTTTTTCAAATAAGTTTTCCCATTTTCTCATTGACATGTCCTTCAGCCTGAGGGTTATGCATTTCACTTTAGGTGTGAAAAGGCCTTTACAGTTGCCAAAAATATAACTTTTGGGTTATTCTTTACTAAAAAAAACAAGCAAGCAAGTCCAGCCCAGGTGACAGAAAGTAATGCCATAAATGCATGTAATTCCATAAAAAGTAAGTGACAATTATTTACTTTTTATGGAGTGACGCAATATTGTAATGTATTACTTTTAAAAGTAACTTTCCCCAACACCCATCAGAAGTACTAAAAATGAGAGTTTTACAGCCTTTTCCTTTGTTAATATACATAATTGAATCAATCCGATCAAAATAACCATATATTTTTAAGAGTGCTTGTATTTCAGTCTGACCATTGAGAGGGATTCTTAAGAAGAGTCTATTGGAAACATCGACAACGATACAGCGCAGAAGATTGAGTACATCCACATATCCCGAGTGGTCTGTGAACTCCTGCAGGACGTTAAGCTGTTTGTTGGTCGCGCTGACACACACATCTACTGATTTCTGAAGACCCGGACCTGTAAGAGCTAGAGTACACACACACATAAACAATAGATTCTGATGAATGTGTGTATGAACTGTTCTGAGACCAGTTTCAGTGAATAACACCCACCTTTGGTGAAATATGTTCTCACTTTCTTCCACAATGCGATGTTGCTGTTGAAGATAATGCCTTGTTCAAACATACCAATGCACTGCAGACCTTTTTTACTGGCAAACCTCCCAGTGTAATTATTGCTCTTCAGAACATGATACACGGCAGAGGACCTGAAACAGTTTTAAATTTTTCACACTAAAAATAGTGCCCTCAGGTGTTGCATTCCTCATTTGAGGCAACACTTAGTGACATAATTAGGTTGTATGGACTTGAGTAGCAGACTGTGCTAATAAAAATCATGTTTTGGCCTTATGGGGGGCGCTCTTGAGCACCTTTTTGAACCATGAAATTACTTGATCTGCAACAGCTATTCAGTAAAATTTATAATAATCCATAATGAGTATAATCAACAACAAATTTCATTATCAGTTAAGGTGCGGTGACATTGACGGTTGTTCAACAATTTTTCACAGAAGAAATCCAGTAGAAATCAATGTAATTGGGATTTTTCCGTAAGAGCGAAAAAATCATTTGCAGAGAACCTCCATTGTTAACTAGTTGTTTTAAAGTTTTAAAATGTATACATTTGTAAATCAATTACTTTTGAAACAATTTAGTTCAAGTCGCTGTTTTTAACGTTAATTTGAATTTTAATTAATACTTTTGTATTTTGAATTCAGCTGTGAATATTCTGGAACAAATGGCAACATTTAAAGGGATAGTTCACCCAAAAATGAAAATCTGATGTTTATCTGCTTACCCCCAGGGCATCCAAGATGTAGGTGACTTTGTTTCTTCAGTAGAACACAAACAAAGATTTTGCAGTCAGTCAGTCTTCTAATGGAAGTGAATGGGAATCACGGCTTTGAGAGTCAAAAAAACATTCACAAACAAAACCAAATTAAACCCTGCGGCTCGTGACGATACATTGATGTGTAAAGACACGAAACGATCAGTCTGTGCAAGAAACTGAACAGTATATATATTGTTTTTTACCTCTAATGCACTGCAATGTCTGAACTGTCCTGAGCGCGTCCTCGACAGCCGGTGCCTGACGCGTCGTCTTCTTCGCAGACTTATAAGAGCATTACCACCACCTATCTCTCAAATGGACCATTGACACTCCTAATTGAGATTGTAGATATAACTTTTGGGTTATTCTTTACTAAAAAAAACAAGCAAGCAAGTCCAGCCCAGGTGACAGAAAGTAATGCCATAAATGCATGTAATTCCATAAAAAGTAAGTGACAATTATTTACTTTTTATGGAGTGACGCAATATTGTAATGTATTACTTTTAAAAGTAACTTTCCCCAACACCCATCAGAAGTACTAAAAATGAGAGTTTTACAGCCTTTTCCTTTGTTAATATACATAATTGAATCAATCCGATCAAAATAACCATATATTTTTAAGAGTGCTTGTATTTCAGTCTGACCATTGAGAGGGATTCTTAAGAAGAGTCTATTGGAAACATCGACAACGATACAGCGCAGAAGATTGAGTACATCCACATATCCCGAGTGGTCTGTGAACTCCTGCAGGACGTTAAGCTGTTTGTTGGTCGCGCTGACACACACATCTACTGATTTCTGAAGACCCGGACCTGTAAGAGCTAGAGTACACACACACATAAACAATAGATTCTGATGAATGTGTGTATGAACTGTTCTGAGACCAGTTTCAGTGAATAACACCCACCTTTGGTGAAATATGTTCTCACTTTCTTCCACAATGCGATGTTGCTGTTGAAGATAATGCCTTGTTCAAACATACCAATGCACTGCAGACCTTTTTTACTGGCAAACCTCCCAGTGTAATTATTGCTCTTCAGAACATGATACACGGCAGAGGACCTGAAACAGTTTTAAATTTTTCACACTAAAAATAGTGCCCTCAGGTGTTGCATTCCTCATTTGAGGCAACACTTAGTGACATAATTAGGTTGTATGGACTTGAGTAGCAGACTGTGCTAATAAAAATCATGTTTTGGCCTTATGGGGGGCGCTCTTGAGCACCTTTTTGAACCATGAAATTACTTGATCTGCAACAGCTATTCAGTAAAATTTATAATAATCCATAATGAGTATAATCAACAACAAATTTCATTAGGTGCGGTGGTGCGGTGACATTGACGGTTGTTCAACAATTTTTCACAGAAGAAATCCAGTAGAAATCAATGTAATTGGCGTAAGAGCGTAAGAGCGAAAAAATCATTTGCAGAGAACCTCCATTGTTAACTAGTTGTTTTAAAGTTTTAAAATGTATACATTTGTAAATCAATTACTTTTGAAACAATTTAGTTCAAGTCGCTGTTTTTAACGTTAATTTGAATTTTAATTAATACTTTTGTATTTTGAATTCAGCTGTGAATATTCTGGAACAAATGGCAACATTTAAAGGGATAGTTCACCCAAAAATGAAAATCTGATGTTTATCTGCTTACCCCCAGGGCATCCAAGATGTAGGTGAATTTGTTTCTTCAGTAGAACACAAACGAAGATTTTTAACTCAAACCGTTGCAGTCTGTCAGTCTTCTAATGGAAGTGAATGGGAATCACGGCTTTGAGAGTCAAAAAAACATTCACAAACAAAACCAAATTAAACCCTGCGGCTCGTGACGATACATTGATGTGTAAAGACACGAAACGATCAGTCTGTGCAAGAAACTGAACAGTATATATATTGTTTTTTACCTCTAATGCACTGCAATGTCTGAACTGTCCTGAGCGCGTCCTCGACAGCCGGTGCCTGACGCGTCGTCTTCTTCGCAGACTTATAAGAGCATTACCACCACCTATCTCTCAAATGGACCATTGACACTCCTAATTGAGATTGTAGATAGTGTCAATGGTCCATTTCAGCGGCTGTCGAGGACGCGCTCAGGACAGTTCAGACATTGCAGTGCGTTAATATAATATATGTTCAGTTTCTTGCACAGACTGATCGTTTCGTGTCTTTACACATCAATGTATCGTCACGACCTGCAGGGTTTAATTTGGTTTTGTTTGTGTGTTTTTTTTACTCTCAAAGCCGTGATTCCCATTCACTTCCATTATAAGACTGACAGACTGCAACGGTTTGAGTTAAAAATCTTCGTTTGTGTTCTACTGTAGAGACAATGTCACCTACATCTTGGATGCCCTGGGGGTAAGCAGATAAACATCAAATTTTCATTTTTGGGTGAACTATCCCTTTAAAAAATGTTAGACAAACACATTAAAACATTTTAGAAAAAAGTTCCATGTAGAAATACAATGTAGAAATAATATTTTCGTGCTAACGTTTTGAGAATATCATTCAAAACCAGATCACTTTGAACAATTATTACTGGAAGAACATTTGTTCATAACATTGTGAGAACCTTGCCAGAACATTCTAAGAACGTTCCCTTTTAGCTGAGTGAATGACGTTTACGTTTTTGAGAACTTACTTGCTAAGTATAAAGGTCTCTTCTCCGTTGATCCAGACCCGAGCAATGCTGCCATATTTTTCGTTGTAGTAGTTGCATGCGGAGCCGATCCCCATCCACAGGAACCTGCTGTAGCTCATAATCGGCCCGAGACCCAACCACCAACCCGGACCTGAAAAACATGACATCACAACCAGCATGTTGTTCCCTGTAAATCTGATTGGTTTTAACTCACCTGGGACAGCTGATTGGTTCCTCCAATTCTTGGCTGTAAATATTCTGTGCAGCAGAATCAGCAGTAACGTCCCTGTCAACGCCAGCAACGTTCCCTGTACCGCTGCGGCGATGTTTACCGTGCCCTTGACAGCTTGCTCCATCATCACATCATCTGCAGACACACCCTGTGCACCTAAATATGATGAAGTACCTTAAAATGTTGGAATCGGCACTGTAGAACTGCAATAGAGTTTGCTGTTAGCATCATTTCAGAAGTGAGGGGGACAGAAATGTTGTTATATATATATATATATATATAAATAACATTACAATATAACATTTCTGTAATCTATATAACCTACCAGTCAACAGTTTTTGAACAAAGATTTTTTATGTTTTATAAAGACATCTCTTCCGCTCAACAAGCCTGCATTTATTTGATCCAAAGTACAGCAAAAGCAGTAATGTTGTGAAATATTTGTACTATTTAAAATAACTGCTTTCTATTTTCTTATATTTTAAAATGATTGCTGTGATCAAAGCTGTATTTTCAGCATCATTACTCCAGTCTTCAGCGTCACATCCTTCAGATATCATTCTAATATGCTGATTTGCTGCTCAAGAAACCTTTTTTAATAATTATTATTATTATCAATATTTAAAACAGTTGAGTATATTTTTTCTGGATTCTCTGATGAATAGAAGGATCCAAAGATCAGCATTTATTTGAAATAAAAAACTTTTGTAACATTATACACTATAACATTCAAAAGCTTAGAGTCCGTATAATTTTCATTTTTTTTGGAAAAGAAATTATAGAAATTAACACTTTTATTTAGCAAGGATGCTTTAAATTGATCAAAAGTGATGATAAAGACATTTATAATGTTACAAAATATTTCTATTTCAGATAAATGCGGTTCTTCTGAACTTTTTCTATTCATCAAAGAAACCTGAAAAAATTATACTCAGCTGTTTTCAACATAATAATAATAAAGGTTTTTGAGCAGCAAATCAGAATGATTTCTGAAGGCTAGTGTGACTGGAGTAATGATGCTAAAAATTTAGCTTTGAAATCACAATAAATTACATTTGAAAATATATTCAAATAGAAAACAGCTATTTTAAATAGCCTAAAATATTTCAAAATGTTACTGTTTTGCTGTACTTTGGATCAATTAAATGCAGGCTTGGTGAACAGAAGAGACTTCTTTAAAAAACATTAAAAATCTTACTCTTCAAAAACTTTTTGACTGGTAGTAGTGTATAGGCAACTTTAATTTTTCTCTCATTTCTAGCTTTTAATTGGCTTAGAAATCAGACAATATGGACAATAACCAATAATAATGATTTGTTTATATACTACAAACACTTTTTTTTATCACATAATAAGGCAGAATAGTTTCAATACTGTAATAAATGCTATGTCAGTTAGCACGGCATTGTTCATATACTTTATTTATTACCTGGAGAGGACTTGACAAACACAAATAAACCATATATTGTCGCAATCGTATGTTTAATGTCTTCATGTTTCCAAATGTTTCTGTTTTTCTGTGAATGCAACATACATACATTTCATACAGCGATAGCTGGACGTTTTTGTCCATATTAGGAATTTCCTCGTACGACTTTCTGCGTGAGAGCGCCCTCCGGCTTCGAGTATGAATGAAACATACACTGCACGGAATGTTTAGCGCTCCGTGATGTTCATGTCGCCTTATTCTGGGTCCGAATAAAACATCAGATCATGCACAGACAGACTCTTTTTGAATTTAAATCTATATTTATTCACACCGGCTCTTGAAAACCTCTATGCGAACACACTTGAAAAAGTGCGGGGAACGAATTTACGTGATATTAAAAGTGGGGGGGGGACACGTCCCCTACGTAATCTAGGCCCCTGGCTGTTAGCATTTTGCTAAGCTAATGATGTAAAAATGAATGGCACATTTTTTGGGTAAATATGCTATTCTTGACTATATTAAACTATTTTTTATTGATACCGAATGAAGTATAATTATAAAATCTAAATTTCTCTTGCTTAATCTGCCATCTTGTATTTATTTTTTCACAGAGCTTGTCATGGTGCCATCTAGGGATGTTCGCTCCACAAAAGAATTTGGCCAAAACATGGTATGTTGGGTATTTTAGTTTTATTCACTTGAAATATCTAATTTGCACGTGAACATACCATGACTTAGCAGGTCATTATCACTAACTAAAACTAAAACCATAAAAAATGTTATCTGAAACATAATGAAAGTTAACTATGGAAGCTTGTTTCTGCCACTGGTCTTTTGGGTCATACAAGATTTACACATGGATATTTATTAAAAGGTAATCATCACAAACCATCATGCCTCACTTGCCAAACTAAAATGACTGTGAAACATATTTTATTGGATTGTACTGTTTTTAATGTAAATAGACAATGGTTTTATTCAGCGGTGTGTCTAACTGATTTATAAAAAAAATGTATCACCTGAATGTATTTTAGAATTTTTGTCTAGTGTACATCTGAAATGTCTTTTATAACCTTTTGTTAATTGTATACCTTGTATAATTTATTCAGAGATTGCCATGAAAATAGCCTTGATGCTGGCATGGCGCTAAAAAGTGAATGAATAAATTAATTAATAATAATAATAATAATATACATATATATATATATATATATATATATGAGATAAACACTCGCATTTCTAATTTTTTTCTCTTGTAATTGCAAGTTTATATCTCACAAGTATGATTTTATAACTCACAACTGATGTTTCCATGCAATTGCAAGGAAAAGTCAGAATTGTGAGATAAAAAGTCGCAATTACCTTTTTTTTATTTTTATTCAGTGGCTGAAATGGGCTTCCATATAGTTAACTGAAAGTAGGCTATAAAAATAAAATTGAATTCAAAATATTAACAAAACAGTAGTTTATTAGTCATACTAAAATAACAGTGGTAAAGACATATTGCTTACTGACACTGATACTGAATGATATTCTCGTCTAAAGTCATGTGGCTTGTATGGACTATGTTTGTGATAATTTTGTGATGCTTTTTTTAAACTTGACATGCTACATGTTTGCACATTCTGCTAAATATCTACAAAGAAGAAAGTCATACAGTTGTGGAACAACAAAGTAAACAGTCAACCGTTTCAAAAAGTCATTATATTTATATGAACCATATGAATTGATATGTAAACGTTATTTTGATTTTATTTCAGAGAAACTATCAGTCCAGCTGATTAATTACAGCTCAGCCTAATGAATTAGCATCGACTGAATGAATTGACGTCCACTGGAGTAATATAACAAACACACTCACCTCTTTAGATCTGCATCCGCTTCATTTTTAAATGTGCTGTTCAGTAGCTCAGACTTGCCGTTTACATGCTCCCATCATTCTGAAGTTCATTAGCTGATGTTTTAGCCCAATATATATTCTTTCCCTTTTTTTAAAAGTGCTTTAAAATCCCCGTTGCCACGATACAGCCATTTTCCTTGTAAAGTGGCATTGAAATCCCAAAGCAGAACAGACCAGAACAATGAAACAATGATGGACCAAAGTAGAGCAGGCTTTCATACTTTCCAGAAAAAACAAAACACATAAAATGGTCAGTGTGGGATGCTGTTAGCTCTTAAATGCGAAACACATTTTATCCCCCTCTTGTTATTTTTCAGGAGTTTATTGGCCTTTGTCTTGGTTCCAAATCCGCTGTCATTCATTCTCTGAAGGGCCTTTAATAAAGACGGGTCAGACTGACCCAGAACTGCAGGAGTGAATGAGCTTTTATCTACCAAAGAAGTGAAGGGGGGAAACAATGTTCCCTAAGAAATTTGAGCGTTCATTCCACTTCCTAAAGCACACATAATACATTTTGTTATGCTGTCTAGTGTCTACTTTCAGTGACACATTAATTGAAGACTCTTGTGTAATGTTTTGTATAAAATGACTTAATTTTTGATTAGTTACAATGTTTGTTTTTTTGTGTATAGTCTATTTCACTGTTGTTATGTGGAAAGTTCAGATATGTTCAGACATTTATTGTGCAAACGATAGGAAAAGGTATAGCCTAACTGAGGTAGACCTTCAATAAAAAGTTTCTAAAATAACTAGAATTAAAGAATCAGCCATACCCTTACGAAAAAGAAGTTTATTCAAGTGTGCTCTTAGTATACTTCTTTTAAACTAAAAAATAGGAAAGTATACTTTTAGTCTACTTTTTATGTACTTCTCAGAAATGGGCTTTATGTACTTCTCAGAAATATACTTAAAATGACATTTAAGTATACTTGACATACTTAGAAAAAGTCTAAATATATTTTAGCTATAATTGTGCTCCTAGAATCTGTGTTTTCATTGTTATACTGTAGGGGGCGCTAGTACACATCTTCTGTATAGTGATAAGTTCGGATCATTTTACCGACTCGGACCTTTGAGTCTCGTTCAGCAAAATGAACGAATCTTTTTACGAGTCATTTCATTCATTTTAGCAAAATATAATTAAAATATTACGTGTTATTTCCCTAACACATCTACTACTTACGCAAACGTTGAAGTACAAAAAATGCTACTACAAGTATTTAATTAGTAAACTCAGTATACCTATAAGTTCACTTTTAGTATAGTTGCAGTACAAACTAAACATTTTGTTGTAAACTAGTTGTGTACTCAACGGTTACTACTGTTATACTTAAAAGTATACTTTTATATACTAAAAAGTGGGCCAATTTAGTCCCAAGGAGTATTGAAATAGTACACTTACAAGTATACTTCTAGTACACTGATATTTGTATACTTACTACATAAAGTATACTTAAAAATATACTTGAACTTTACTTAAGTATACTTACTAAAATAAACTTGAAGTATACTACTTTTTTGGTACGGGTATATTTGGAAGCTGCTTAGAAATTTGCTCAAAAACCTGAGCGGTACTACAGTACTGGCTTCTGCATCGCTTAATATTCATTAACCAAACCTGCGCCTCAGTTTAAACCGTGTGGCACATCAGCACACAACAACTTAACGGCCTGCAACGGCTTCCTAAAATCATCTTCCACTTCCCCATACACCTGTTTGCGGTCACTTTGAATTAGGTCATCTATAGTAGTTTCGTTTAACGGAGGCTGAGAATGGAGAACTGCGGGCTTGTGTCTCAGTTCAGAACACAACGCAGAGTGAACGGTCTCTGATGCTGCAGCGGAGTTTCAACGACAGAAATCGTCTCTCTTCCTCAAACATTGATTTGATCATTAAATGAGGCTTTCTTTGAAGATTTGAGACAGATTCAAAGGCAGTTGTTTCTCTGATTTTCACTTTTGACGAAGGTCTTCTAGTCATTTCCTCAAACGGAGCGAGAGAATGATGAACTGCGGTCTTCTCTCAGAGAAAAATGTGTCTGGTAAGTTATGAGTTCACTTGTTTACTTTTATTGTTTCCTAAATATATATTTTTTCACATGTGTAAGAGCCAGGGTGTTAACACACAGATAAGTTAGTCGCGAGGTCTTTATCTCAGTATTACTGTAATTAAGGTGAATTTTAACCGAAAGGATGTTCATCCTATTTAGAAGTGTATTTTTCATGAATGTCATATGAAGCAAGTTGTTACATGTTCTGTTCTCTTTTGTTCACAAAATGTTAATTATATAGCTATACGTTTATGTTCTTATGACAATATTAAAAACTTAATCAAAGCTATATGAGATATATTTGTGATGTTTTCTTCTGTATTTGTTGTGTTGGTTTGTGTGCCTCAGTGCCTCTGAAGAGCATCTCAGTGGAGGTTCTGGTTCAGGATCATGTAGCCACAGTCTCCTCCACTCTGCAGTATGTGAATGAGGAAGAGCGCCCCCTGGAGGCCTTGTTCGTCTTCCCTCTGCCTGCTGATGCTGCTGTCTGCCACTTCAGTGCCAAGATCGGAGAGCAGGAGATTGTGGCAGAGGTGCAGGACAGAGAAACCGTGAGTCCAAATACAAACCCGCAGGACATTGATTTGCATATTTATATTACACATCACCATTTAACAAAACCATATCCTGCAGGCGAGGGATCGGTATGATGACGCTGTGAGTTCGGGTCAGCAGGCGTTTCTGTTGGAAGAGAGCGCAGAGAGTCCTGATGTGTTCAGACTGAGTGTCGGGTGTCTGTCGGCGGGTCAGAATGCTGCCGTCACCATCATCTACGTCACCGAGCTCGCTGTGCAGGCCGACCACTCGCTGCGCTTCTGTCTGCCGGCTGTACTCAACCCCCGATACACACCAGCAGGTACTACTGCAGCTCTGACACACACTTTATTAGAGCAGAGAAGCTGATTCTAACACACTCTGTGTGTGTGTGTGTGTGTGTCAGGTTCAGCTGCTGGTATAGTCTCAGAGATTTCATCAGGAGCTGTTCCCTACACGCTGACTCTCAGTGTTCATGTGAGCTCTCCAAAGTCCATCTCCAAACTAGAGTCCAACTGCACTCTGGGTCCTCTAGTGTTCCTCCACTCTGATCACACTCAGGCTACGGTACTGTGTGTCTTCATGTGTTTATCTGGATGTGTGAGCAGAGCAGTTTTATGCATGTGTTGTTTGTGTGTGCAGGTGAATCTGAGTCCTGGTCACATGTTTGATAAGGACGTTGAGCTGTTTGTGTACTATCAGGATACCCATCAGCCCTCTGCTATAGTGGAGGCAGGAGTGACCACTGCTCCACCAGGTAAGGGGTATCAGACATCGATATTAGATGACAAATTTACCTTGTCAAATTAATAAACTAAAAGGTAGAGTACATAGTGCATAGTATAAGTGTATAGTGTGTCATTTGTTTCAGGTTCTCTGATGAGGGACCCAGTGGTCATGATAAGTTTGTACCCAGAATTCCCAGAGGAAGTGATGTCATCATTGGCATCTCGAGGCGAGTTTGTTTTTGTGATTGACAGATCAGGCAGTATGGGCAGCATGATGAATAATGGGAAAGGAGCACAGAATCGAATTGAAAGCGCAAAGGTAAGATTTAAGATTCAATAACAGGATGTTTTTATGTCAGAATATCGATTTATTATGGGTGTTGAGTTTGTTTTGGGATTTTATTGGATTGTGAAAAAATGACCAATGACTTGTATACAATAAGATTTTGTTGCATAAACTGCTTACACTAGTCTTAGTTATCTATTTTTTCTTCAATATACATCATAACATTTTAAGGTCAGATACAAAAACGTAGATTGGCCTAATTTGAATCAGAAATATAAGACTGATTACCCTTTGACAGACTTAAAGGGGTCATATGATGTTGCTAAAAAGAACATTATTTGGTGTAATGAAATGTGTTTATGCGGTTTAAGGTTAAAAAAACACATTATTTTTCACATACTGTACATTATTGTTTCTCCTCTATGCCCTGCCTTTCTGAAACGCGTCGATTTTTACAAAGCTCATCGATCTGAAAAGCAAGGTGTACTTTGATTGGCCAGCTATCCAGTGCGTTTTGATGGGCCGAATACCTCAAGCGTGTGACGGAAATGTTACGCCCCTTACCATATTGTGATGCCGTGTCCCGGCCGGAGCGATGAGACAAAAACATTAAAAACCCATTATAAACGAGGCATTTGTTGCATCCAGTGGGGACATAATTATGGAATATAATGACTTGTACTGTCTTTTTTTCATGTTGCATTGCATCGCGCCACGTAAACATAAAATCATGTCTGCATTTGTGATCGGAGAAATGACAAACAACAAGCGCTACTTTATACTGCTCAAAATTCAGGTTTGAATTGTCAGTGGCAAATTCTTTAAATATAAAAAACATACTTACAGTCTGTGAGTCAGAACAGCCGGCATTGTAGTCTAATCTACCAGGATCAGGAAACAGTCCTCCATAAAATGTGCTGCACACATCTGAATATTTGTGTTGAACTGTTCTGGAACAGTGATTTCTAGTCGTGTCCTCTTTTGGAAGGCCAAACAAAGTAGTTTCACACGGCGGGCTAGAGTCAGCAGCTTGAGAACGACGCGGCCGGCGGATTCGACGAAGGAGCGGCCGGCGGGCTTGCAGCAACCACATTTGACGACCCCGGGCTGGACTCCGCTTCATCCACGGTGAAAGTCGATCCAGCAATCCACAGCGTGAAGTTGATGTATTTCCTCAGTGACCAGCACGGATCAGCTCTAGGCATGACGAAGCGGATATCGTCCTCTTTTGGAAGACCAAATAAAGTAGTTTCGCTTTCACAACGAAACACACGGCAACAACAATACTACAGCGAGAATAAAAGTTACGCCTTCTTTCTTTGCGTGAACATTTGGGTGGCGTTATGCAAATCTTCCCACATAGTGACGTAGATATGTGGGGGCGTGTTAGAACGAGCCGTTTTAGGTAGGCATGGTTGACTCTGAACTTTTATAAAGAATATCTCTTTGGATTTGAGACTTAATCTTCTTTATGCACCAAGAGCTTGTAACACTCCAAAGAGAAAGGAAATCGCATCATATGACCCCTTTAACTTTGTGGCTATTTTTATGTAGCTAGGCCCAGGAATGTGTGTTATGAAAGTCCATAGAGTTATGTTAAGTTTAAATATTTGTCTCTCTATAGGACACTCTGCTGTTACTGTTGAAGAGTCTGCCCATGGGATGCTACTTCAATATCTATGGATTTGGCTCTAATTTTGAGTCCTTCTTCCCGTTAGTGTCTAGATCGTTATTCATAGATTCAGTATTGAAATGAGTCAGTGGAGATGAGATGTTTTTCTGTGTCTTTGCAGTAAAAGTACCGTGTACAAACAGAAAACAATGGATCAGGCTCTGAAGAGAGTGAAGGAAATGCAAGCAGACATGGGCGGCACAGAGATTTTACAGCCTCTAAAACACATCTACAGTCAGCCCTGTTACCCCGATCACCCCAGACAGGTACAACACCTCACTGTGCATCTGAACAACGGACTGTACCGATGTGAAGTCAAATTTTTTTGTTTTTCTCTCTTCAGCTGTTCGTCTTCACTGATGGAGAGGTGGTAGACACTAAAGCGGTGCTGGATCTGGTGAAAAGTCACGCTCACTCTCACAGGTAAAGCTCTGCTGGGTTTGATCTGTCCATCATTCATATCTTCATCACTAACAGTAACAGAGTTTATCGTGTCTTCAGGTGTTTCTCATTGGGGATTGGTGAGGGTGCGAGTGCCGCCCTCATCACAGGAATGGCCAGGGAGGGATCTGGTCACGCTCAGTTCATCACAGACACCGACCGCATGCAGCCCAAAGTAAAGCTCTCCTCTGGATTTCACAGGCACAAATGTTTCCTAGTCAAATGTCTCAATGGTTTTTCTTTCTCTTCAAACTATATCAGGTGATGCAGTCACTTAGGTTTGCGCTGCAGCCCACTGTGCTTAATATCTCTGTGGATTGGACCCTTCCAGATGATGTTACTGTTGACACACTGTCTCCACCCATCAATGTGCTCTTCCAGGGTCAAAGGACACTCATTTATGCCCAACTTAAAGGAGAAGTGAGATGATTTATCATGTGTTTCTTTAATGAGAATTAGACCAGTTTTTCTCATTTGTTTTGCTTACAAAAATCTGCCTTTTCTATCTCTTGCAGAGTTCGGGAGGCTCTGAGGGAGCAGTGACAGTCAAATACAGTCTTAAAGATCAACCAGTAACAAACCAGCTCCACTTCTGCCTCAAATCAACAGAGGAAACACAGTAAACACACACAAACACACATAGAAACATATTGAATTGGAGTGACATGAACTGTTTGCTTTTCTAATCCAACAAATTTCCTCCATGTTTCTGCAGGTTGTCTATTCACCGGCTGGCGGCTCGGACCCTGATCCGTTCTCTGGAGCAGAAGGAGAGGTCAGGTGCTGCAGATGTTGAGGGCATCAGGAGCAGGATGGTGGAGCTCAGTGTTCAGGCAGGAGTGAGCTGTGTTCATACAGCCTTCATTGCTGTGAATAAAGACAGCAGACAGACTGTGAAAGGACCACTGGTGAAGAGAAGAGTACGGACACGCGGTAAGTGCAAGGATTGTGAACTTGTGAGGATATCTGTGTCCTTTTTTATTATAATATTACAAAATTATGTTCTTGTCACATATATTTTATATTTGCTGTGTTCAATTAATCAAAATATAAATGCTTTTTAGGGTCACAACAGTGGAATTTACAGTCACCGATGAACTTGAAGTGCATATCAAGTTTAAAGAGTGTTCAACCATGTTTTTCAACATATGGTAAGTGCTCTGGTTGTGTGTGTATAAGTGACTTGACTATTTACTACTGCACATTTGATGTGTTCATCTTATTAGGATGTGAAATCAAATTAGATTATCACATTTTTTAGATATGTGCTATATACAGAAAGTCATTGGATGCCAGTATGTGGCATTGGCTTTTGCCTGGAAAGCACCAATCACATTTTCTTCAGAAAATGTTGAAATTATAATTTTAACATACGGTTCCTTGTCATATCACAGTTTTCATTCAGTGTGTGCACTGCAGCTCATTTTGATGTGAAATGTGTTTGTTTTTTAGAGATGGATTATGGATCCTTGTCTGGTAAGATAATTAAAGGTAGGGCAGGCGATTTCAGAAAGGCTAGTGATAGCAAGTTAGCTTTGAAAGCAAGATCCCCACCCTCCCTGCGTAATCACTCTGCAAAGCCACGCCTCCTCCAAAACACATAAACGTGCTCTGGTAGAGATGAGGCTAACCAGAGACACAATGAGAGATGGTGTTGGTGGCATTTTAATTGCAACCCTGTCAGATTACCTCATGTCTCATTCACCGCTGAGAAAAATCATATTACGGTAATAGCGACTTTCATTCACGCTGTAATGCACTGATGACGTATCATGTCTGGGTGATCAGGGTGCACAGAGGTATGCAAACACATATTTTGAAAGGCAAGCAGGACAGCCTATCGTAATGTTCGGACCAAACATTTTGATTGGACAAACATTTTAGGGTCCTACACCTTCCACAAACGATATTAATACATATAAATTAATTTAGACCACTTAACTTAGTGATTGCTTTCGGGATGTGAAGAGACTTTCAACCAGCATAACACATTTTTTTTTTGATCCAAATCAACTACCCTGCCTTTAATATAGGCTTCTTGGCTGTTTCTCCAGATCTGAATTTATTCTTTTGGTTTCTCTGCCTGTAGACGCAAAAACATCAAACATCTAAATCACTGCTGGGTAAATGCACTTCAGTGTAATATTCATTTTGTCAAAGAGAGTAGTATGCAATGTTTGAAGAAATTATTGTTGTTTTCATGTTTTTTTTTTTTTTTTACAAAACTGTTCAATTTAATTATTGGTTTACAAGCCACAAACCACAGCACTAAACAGAGAGCACTAAATGAGTCCCTGTCACTTAACAGTTAACAGGATGTGAAATTATTATTATTTTTTTTAGGGAAAGCCCGGTCTAGCAATCATGGTAAGATAAATCATATTGACTACACTTCTCTTACATGGTTTTGTGTTTGTGTTTAGTAAGCATGAGGAATCCTTTTTTGTACAGTATTAACTGGCCACCACAGAATCCAGAGCTTTGCCCTATTGAGAGCATATAGGATGTGCTAGAGTCGACTTTACAGAGTGGCTCAACTCTCCCATTATCAATACAAGAACTCAGCCAAAAATGTATGCAACTCTTGATGGAAATAAATGCTGTGATGTTGCATGACGTTGTTGAAAGAATGCCACAACGAATGAACAATATAATCAAAGCTATAGGCGGTCTAACAAAATATTAGAGAGTGCAACTTTTTTTGGACGGGCAGTTTAAAGTCAACTCCAGCACATCCCAAAGACTTTAATAGGGTTTAGGTCAGGACTCTGTGGTGGCCAGTCTCTCACAAATTGAGCCTGGTGAATCTTGGTATTGTCATCCTAGAACGTGCACAACGTGCACAGAGTGCGTCTTCCAACATTGTTGTTTGAAAAACAAAAATCTACGCACTGCATCAGAAAGAATTGTTGGCATACAACATACAAGAAACATAGGTCACTCCAATAATGATTCAATCTTAAAATCTTATATTTACATATATATATATATATATATATATATACTTTTTTCTTATATTTATATGTTTGTTATGTGGGTTATACACACACATAACAAAATTAAACATTGTTATGTGTTTAAAAAAAAAAGTTACTGGTCCAGAAAGACATTTTTTTTAAATGATGTAAATGTAATTTGAATCAAAATATCAACTTCATAAATATTATTATGGGATTAATATTTTCCATAAATTTTCTTAATATACAAACATGCAGTGTTGGAAAAAAATGCAATGATTGTTTTAAAAATGAAACTAAACCGGAGTGAACCTGACCTTGTTGAATCAATCATTCAACCAATTCATTTAAATGTGACCGTCTTTATAAATGGCAAATTGAAGCATTGACTCAAAAATGTTCTCATTTAAAAATGCTGCATGTTGCTCGGAGACGGAAAATGTTCTGCTGTGTATTTGTTTTTGAACTTTTTTTGTGTTGGCAAAAGAGCAGCTACTGTCAGGATTTACTGAAGACACGCAGTGAAACATTAGGTGGGACAGTTATGCTTGCGGCTGACCTTATTGCTTATGCATTTGCTGGAGTCATCTTTCAGATGCAATGCAAACTTTATGGGAGGAGAGAATTAAATGAATCATCCAGGGTGATTTACAGTACTAAAGGTTGAGCTAGTCACTTTACCTGTATTTGTGCCATTATTTAAAACCCCCAAAAAGCAAGTCTTAAACTGTTTTGCGCTGTGTCATTAGTAGTTTACCCACACCTGATTTTCATTGGCTCTACTTTTTTGTGACCCTATGCTCATTTGCGCCGCTCTTGGTAGATTGCGCTGGTCATTATGTAAGTGATCTAACTGTGTCTGTGTTCTTTGATTTGTGCATTGTCAGTAGATCAGCCGCAGAACTTTGTGCTCCCATTAGTGCTGTTATGGGATTAAGCTTAAGCTAATTTGCCCTGCTTACTAAATCTGGCCCTTGGTTATGATATAGTTAAGAAACATCACACATGTTATAAATGTGTGCGCTGTTGTGCTCATTTTAATTTGTTTTCCCCAATGTTTAGATCTGGGCAGAAATGATGACTGCTATTCAACATTGAAGAGTAAGTGAATCAAACATACACACCAAAGGCTCTTTCACAGACTTGATTCAGGACATCGGCATTGTGGTGTACATATTTATAACTATTATGCTACATTGTGAATGAGAGAATGGCATCTAGTTACCATCTATAAAAATAAAAACATTATTTTGCCTATTTAAATTCAGATTTGTTTAAAAATGTCTCAACATTTGGCAGTACAAATGAGTGAGTACAAAGAACAGATGTTGAAAATCACAGCTTTTTGCCACTCACATCTTCTTCAGAAAATGTTAAAATCTGGTTAAAATTATGAATTTAACATACTGTAGTTCATTGTCTCTTCAGTTTTACATTAGATATGAGCAGCTCATGCTGATGTGAAATGCATTGTTTTCATTGTTTTTAGATATTAAGTATGGAGCCTTGCATGGTAAGATAAATAATATACTCTTCTTTTAAGTCTGTCATGTCATTGCTGTTTTAGTGCTCTACAATTGTGTTTGTATGGATGTGGGTGTTTTGGGTTTCCCTGACAGCAAAGATTTCAAATGCTTTTCTTGTCATTGCACAGTTTAATACATTTGAGGTGTTGATTTAAAATGTAAAATGAAAGTGTTCCTATTGTAGAGAGGATGTGGTAAATAGATTATTTTCTACACAAGAAACACACATCAGTCTATCCCTGTTCCAGAGACTATACAGAAACTACAATCCATCCAATTATAATCAGTGATCACGCTGCAATCTCCCTTACACTAAACTCTCCATCCTGCATTAAGTCTTCTAACAGATGGCGCTTTAATACCTCACTAGTTCATGACTTTGACAGTTTTATTTATTACTAGCTACGAGAACAGAAACAGTCATCCCAACATTAATTCATCATGATCAAACAGGTTTTATTAAACACATGAATGCTTCAGATAATATCCGTAGATTAGTCAACGTAATTAGCCTTGCCCAACAAAAACAAACCAAATCTATAATTGTATCACTTGATGCTGAAAAAGCATTTGCTAAAGTAAATTGGACATTTCTATTCAACACTCTACACAGATTTGGCTTTGGAGAGTCATTCATTCACTGGATCAAAATATTATACACTTCACCCAGGGCCACAATAACCACAGATGGAATCACGTCAAAAAACCAGACAGGGATGCCCACTCTCTCCTTCTTTTTTTGCCATTTTTATAGAGTCACTTGCAGCAGCAATACGACACAATAATAACATTAAAGGAATACAAGACTCAAACACACAACACAAGATATGTCTTTATGCAGATGATTTATTATTATGTTTATCCCCATTCCAGAGCTTTTCTTGTTTGTTAGTTTTTTATTTTGGCTATTTTTCCAGATCTGAAATTCTGAATCTGTTTTGATCTTTGGATTCATTGCCTGCAGCTCAATGTGGATGTGCTTTGTCACTGCCAAGTAAATGTACTTTAATGTAATAGTTCTGTGAAGTATGAAATGTTTGAAGCAATTATTGTTGTTTTCATGGCATATTACAAAATTGGTACATTTAATTATTGATTTACCATCCTCACCGAACCACAGAATGAGTAAGGGGTATTCACACACGAAGTGCTCTTTTCCAACATTTTCCAAAGCTGAACTACATTTAACTTGGCACACCATCTTAAAACTGTGGCGCTCGTGGTGTAAGACACTGAAAAACAGTGAGACGCCACACAATAACCAAAGACACAAGTCTGCATGTCTGAAACTACAGTTTTTTTTTTGTTTTAGGGAGGATGTGGAAAGTGGTGCTTTTCAATCTGCGTGGGTTTCTTGTGCCTGCAAGAATGCGTTTGTGGTGTTTAGTAAGACAAATGGCACAATATAACATCAATTCAGTAACATTCACTGGAAATGACTTGGTGATAAAAACTTTAGGTTACTCACGTAACCCCGGTTCTCTGATAACATGAGTGAGGTATGTCACTATGGGAATCGCCTCGGGCGTGACCAATCCTGGAAGCACCAATTACAATTGTCAGTTGACAGACCAATCACGACAGTGATGCTGGAGTCCCGCCTCGCTCATATATATCACTGCATAACGGTCCCTACCTCATTCTCAGCATATCTCTTCTCCGTACTGCTGCAAGGAGGGAAGTGTGGTGAGATACCACACTCATGTTATCAGAGAACTGGGGTTACGTGAGTAACCTAAAGTTCTCTTTCAAACATTCGTTTGGTATCTCACTATGGGATATAGACAATACTCCCGTATTGCAGATATGCTGTCCGAAGCAAGCAATGGTGTAATGGGCAGACGTGGTGTAATTGGTTCTTCCAATATTAGTCACGCCCGAGGCGATTCCCATAGTGAGATACCAAACGAATGTTGTTTGCTTGTTGTGTACCTCTTGTTATGGGTTAATTGACAAACAAAATACAAAAGCAAATAAAGGGTTTCGGCCTTTAGGATTAAATATGTCCATATCAATCCATCCCTATTCCAAAGCTTTTCTTGTTTGTGAGTTCTGTTGGATGTATCTGTTCTTGGCTATTTCTCCAGAATCTGTTCTGACCTTTGCTTTCTCTGTCTGTAGCTTCTGCTCCGTCAGAATACTCTATTCTAAACTCTAGGCCAATCCGGGGTAAGTGCAAGTGAAGACATTTGGTCCCCCCAAACCTAGGGAACCCAAACCTCACTAACTGCTAAACATGAGATGAGATTGATACAATGGTTGTGTTCGGAACTTAAATCTAGTTTACTTACTCACCACACACTGAATATACACTGTTTATGACTTATTGTTCTTTAAAAATAGTATGTGAATGGTATTTTCCATGCTGAATGACTCAAAGTAGTATGCTACATTAAGTTGAAGCATTCTGCTTCACACAGTTTAATACTGTTTAATTTGAGGTGTTGATTTGATCTCTTTAAGAAATTATTCTTTTCTACACAAGAAACACATGAGTCTGTTCCAAAGTTTTTCTTGTTTATAGTTCTGTTGGATGTGTCCGTTCTTGGCTGTTTCTCCAGATCTGAATCTGTTCTGACTTTTGTTTTTTCTGCCTGTAGCTGAGAGGAACAAAAGACATAGCCTGTTACTGCCAGGTAAATGCACCTCAATGTAATAGTTTTGTGAAGTATGATTTAATGCAATGATTGTTTTTTTTTCATGGCATATTTGATGGTACGCTCACTGAAAATTAATGAGTGCTTAAAATCACAACTTTTTGGTTTGTCAAACAAAACAAATTAAGGTTTTTGGCTATTAGGATTATAGCAAAGAAGTTTTCAGCCAAACATGTCCATATCGTCCCTATACCAAAGCTTTTCTTGTTTGTTAGTTCTGTTGATGTGTCTGTTCTTGGCTGTTTCTCCAGATCTGAATCTGTTCTGACTTTTGGTTTCTCTGTCTGTAGCTCAGTCGGTCGATAGATGTAGCCTGTTACTGCCAGGTAAATGCACCTCAGTGTAATAGTTTTGTATTTGAAGTATGATCTAATGCAATGATTGTTTTTCTCATGGCATATTTGATGGTACATTTCATTATTTATTTACAAAACTTCACTAAACCACACAGCTACTCCGAATGCTACTCCAACATTTTCCAAAGTTGAACTACATTTATCTTGGCAGTACAAAACTGAAACACACATGGTGTAAGACACTGAAAAACAGTGAGACGCCAAACAATAACCAAAGACAAGTCTGCGTGTCTGCATCTACAGCACAAACCAAACAGCGCAATCAATGTAGTCTGATTCCAGAATGAATGACTGCAATGAATCAGTTCATTTTAATGAATCAAACACAGCTTAAAAATAACTGAGTTGCTTAAATCAGTGTAGTTACTGACTAGTAGTTCATTTGACAATGTAGTAAAACACAGACTTTATGCATTAGTGCTCTGATTGTGGGTGTTTTGTGTTTACCTGACAGCAAGGATTTCAAATGCTTTTCTTGTCACTTTACAGTTTAATACATTTGAGGTGTTGATTTGACCTCGTTACAGTTTTTTGTTTTAGGGAGGATGTGGTAAGTGGTTCTTTCCAGTCTCTGTGGGTTTCTTGTGCCTGCAAGAATGTTTGTGGTATTTGCTATAAGACAAATGTCACGATATGACATCAATTCAGTTACATTCACTAGAAAAGAATGAGTGCTAAAAATGGCTCTTGTACCTTTTTTGTTTTGACAAACAAAACAATTCAAAAGCAAATAAAGGTTTTTGGCTATGGATTATAGCCAAGTAGTTTTTAGCCAAACATGTCCATATCCATCATCCCTATTCCAAAGCTTTTCTTGTTTGTAAGTTCTGTTGGATGTGTCTGTTCTTGGCTGTTTCTCAGATCTGAATCTGTTCTGATCTTTGCTTTCTCTCTCTGTAGATGCACGAACTGCTCAGCCAGAGACCTCTGTACGTTCTAAGTGTAGGTCACTGGTGGGTAAGTGCACCTTAATGTAATATTATGTGAAAGTGTTATATGAAAGAGTGAAATATGTGGTGTTTGAAGAAATGATTGTTGATTAAGATTATGCATTTTTTTCTGTATTATTCATTCTGTTACTGTTAAACCCTTAAACCTAACCTTTACGGAAAACAAATGCATTTTTAGTTTCAAAAATCTATCCTTGTGCTGACATTTGGTCCCCGGAATGTAGAGAATACCTGGACCACACACACACACACACACACACACACACACACACAACTGCCAAATATGACATGAGGTTGACACAGTTTATGTTTGGACTGGAATTGTAGTTCATTTGCTCGCTACAGACTGAATATACAGTGTATACTATCCACTGTTCTACAAATATAGTATGTTAAGGGAATTTCCTTTGCTAAATGATTCAAAGTAGTATGCTACATTGTAATCTTACAATTGCACGTGAATGGTGTCTAGTCACCATCTTGCAAATAAAAACTTTTTTTTTTAAAAGTCAAAGTTGTGTAAAAATGCCTTTTGGCAGTACTAATACATGAGCAACTTTTTTTAATAACAAGCTCCTCTCATATTAGTACTTTTCATACTGCACGTGACTCCAGATTATTGATGTCCTAAAACATGCTTTTAACCCTGGGTAAAGAAATGGTTCATGCTTGTAAAGTAGAAGCTGGGCTTGCACTGCTTTTACCGAGGGTTATGAAACCCTGGTCCAGAGCAGAGTTAACAGTGCTTTTACCCTGTTAACCCTGCATTGCGGTGTCAAATTAGTTTGAAACAATGCGTTACAAGATAAATAATAGAGACTCTTCTTTTCATTCTCTCATGCTTTTCTTGTTACTTTACAGTTTTTAATGCATTTGAGGTGTTGATCTGACCTCATTAAGATGTCGTAATATTATGTGAAAGTGTTATATGAAAGAGTGAAATATGTGGTGTTTGAAGAAATGATTGTTGATTAAGATTATGCATTTTTTTCTGTATTATTCATTCTGTTACTGTTAAACCCTTAAACCTAACCTTTACGGAAAACAAATGCATTTTTAGTTTCAAAAATCTATCCTTGTGCTGACATTTGGTCCCCGGAATGTAGAGAATACCTGGACCACACACACACACACACACACACACACACACACACACACACACACACACACACACAACTGCCAAATATGACATGAGGTTGACACAGTTTATGTTTGGACTGGAATTGTAGTTCATTTGCTCGCTACAGACTGAATATACAGTGTATACTATCCACTGTTCTACAAATATAGTATGTTAAGGGAATTTCCTTTGCTAAATGATTCAAAGTAGTATGCTACATTGTAATCTTACAATTGCACGTGAATGGTGTCTAGTCACCATCTTGCAAATAAAAACTTTTTTTTTTAAAAGTCAAAGTTGTGTAAAAATGCCTTTTGGCAGTACTAATACATGAGCAACTTTTTTTAATAACAAGCTCCTCTCATATTAGTACTTTTCATACTGCACGTGACTCCAGATTATTGATGTCCTAAAACATGCTTTTAACCCTGGGTAAAGAAATGGTTCATGCTTGTAAAGTAGAAGCTGGGCTTGCACTGCTTTTACCGAGGGTTATGAAACCCTGGTCCAGAGCAGAGTTAACAGTGCTTTTACCCTGTTAACCCTGCATAACCCTGTCAAATTAGTTTGAAACAATGCGTTACATTATTTCGACTAGATGCTTAGCAACCAACAGGCAGTTGCATGCATCATATTCACAGTCACGGAAACACTGCCCATTGGATAAACTGCCATTTCAGTGAAGGAGCAAATGTCAAATGGTGACGGACATCGCGTCAGTTGGAGTGAAGAAGAGACTGTTTTATTTTTACCTTTATAGTCTGAAAAGTCCATTCAGTATAAACTTTATAGTACAGTCGGCAATATATAATATTATGCATGTACAATGCTAGAGCCATTACGTAAACCGGTTGCGTGTTGCGTTCGTCCAGTCAATGACTCTGACACTGCAAATTTGCAAATAAGGACGTTAACCCAGTGTTTAGGAATGTACAGCGTGAAACAGCAGATTATGAATACCCAGAATTAATTGTTAACCCTGAGTACATTGAGCAAGCTGAAATGTAGACCCAGGATTTCATTTACCCAGGGTTCACAAAATGTTAAAATCCAGCTAAAATGATGATTTCAACATATTGTAGTTCCTTGTCACTTCACAGTTTACATTTGGTATGAGCAGCTCATTTTGATGTGAAATGTATTTGTTTTTTAGAGATGGATTACGGAGACTTCTCTGGTAAGATAAATAATAGAGACTCTTCTTTTCATTCTCTCATGCTTTTCTTGTTACTTTACAGTTTTTAATGCATTTGAGGTGTTGATCTGACCTCATTAAGATGTAAAATGTACAGGTTTTTTTTAAGGAGGATGTGGTAAATGGTTCTTTTAAATCTGTGTGGGTTTCTTGTGCCTGCAAGAAGGTGTTTGTGGTATTTGCTAAGACAAACGTCACAACATTAATTCAGTAACATTCATTAGAAATGACTGAGTGCTAAAAGTGCTGAGTGTACCTCTTTTTATGGGTTCATTGACAATCAAAACAATACAAAGGCAGTAGCAAAATTGTTTCGGGTCAAAAATGTCCATTTCAGTCCATCCCTATTCCAAAGCTTTTCTTGTTTGTTAGTTCTGTTGGATGTGTCTGTTCTTGGCTGTTTCTCCAGATCTGAATCTGTTCTGACCTTTATTATCTCTGTCTGTAGATGCACGAACTGCTCAACCACCGCCGTCTGAACGAACTAAATCTAAATCACTGCTGGGTAAATGCACTTCAATGTAATATTAGTTTCGTGAAAGAGTGAAGTCTGCAATGTTTGAAGAAATAATTGTTTTCATTGATTTTTACAAAACTGCTACATTTAATAATTTGTTTATAAGCCTCACCAAACCACAGCGCTAAACAGAGAGCACTAAACGAGTGCCTGTCACTTAACAGTTAACAAGATGTGAAATGAATTTTTTAGGGAAACTGCGTCAAGCTCTGTCTCGTAAACACGGTAAGATAAATTATACTGACTACTCATGTGTGTGTGTGTGTGTTGGGTTTGCATGTTAAATTTTTATATATATGGGTTTTATTTTAAGGATGGTGTCTCGGGGGATCTGAGAACTGTTATACTTATTTTACTTTTTTGTAGTGTAAATATAATTTATTCTGAAACAATATTCTCATCATTGTTCTATCAACTATTACTTAAATCAGCGTATTTAGCACATTTGCCTGATTAAATTAACTTTCAGAGCAATTTTTAAAAATGTAAAATCCGTCTTTCATGTCAAATTCTTAAATTTTACCAATAAATTCATTTTGAATAATAAGACGCCACACTAGAGCTGTTACCAGTCAAAAGAAACCAGTATCAATGCTTATCAAATGAAATGAGAACTTAATAAGAGGATGAAGGGCGGTTTCAGACACAGTTTGTCACTTGCCACCACCTAATAGTGTAACAATGTATCCTGCAAAAAGAGTCGTTGAAAAATCCCCACCACTGTCTGGAACAAACTCAGACACATTATTTTGCATGAGTTGGAGTGAATAGTGAGCCTGTGAACTCCTTCAAACAGCATCCCAGGATGCATGAAGTTAGTCTTCTTTCAGAGCTTTTCTTGTTTGCGTATTTATTATTTCCATTTGTTCACTTTTGTTATTTCTTAATATCTGAATGTGCTGGCGTGTTTTTGACAGTTGTAGCAGATTCCCAAAAGTTGAAATGCTCAGAGAAGGATGTTTATTCAGCATTGGTAACGGAGAGTAAGTGTCAAATCAATCAAACACACACACACACCCTTTGTGTTTGTGTTTGTGTGTGTGTGTACTTGTTTAACTATTCTTGTGAGGGTCAAATGTTCTCACGTATGCAGTGAAATAAAATGACATTTTACTGGTCTTCACTAGTTAAAAAGGCTTATAAATCAGCCAAAACATGTTTTAATTTAAATGTAGTGTTTTGCGTAGGGGATGGGTTGGGGAAAGAAAATATCATTGATATCATCAAATATCATCACCTGATATTAAATCAATGGATGTCTATGAAATGCCCTTACTAATATAGTGCAACAAACGTGTGTGCTTTATTTAATTCATTCTGAAACAAAGTCACCTTGTGGTTAATGATTATTGTTCTCATTTGCAGAGATGTTGTATACTGAACATTTTGACAAATGTAGTAGGTCATCATAGGGGTATTTCACACAAAAATTTGCATAAATATTATACATTGCAATAATAGTGAGAATGTAATAGTAGTATGTCATTCCAAACATAGTCCAATATATATTGAGGTCAAAACAACCAACCGAGGATAAAGAGGCAAAAAACACAACAATAAAAAAGACATTACTTTACACTAATTTTATTATTAACAAAAAACAAGAACAACACTACTGCACCTATTGCTTATTGTGTTCACATTTTTGTGTAAATATCAATAATGTTTTGCTCATTATTTTGTCCAGTTTTGTTGATTTTATTATTATTATTTTTATTGACAATTTCAGGATTTTTGTTGAACAGGTTTTTCAACAATGCATGAACTCCTGTCTCTCTGTATGTGTATTCACCTGCAGACCCGTTACTGCAGCTGGTTTCTCTGCAAAAGGCGTCAGGCTGCTGGGATCTGGACGCCACCCTGGCTGATGTGTTTGGGAAGACGGAGGATGAGCTGACCAATCAGAAACCAGCACAGGTGAGAGATGTGATGAAATAATAAGACAGTGATGATTGTGTGCAGTGTCCAGTAACAAATGCAGTGGATGCTGGTTTGTACACAGGTGGATGGGTCAGTATGGGCCACTCTCCTGGCTCTGATCTGGTTATACGGCTGTAAAATAGAGCAGCAGGTGGAGTGGCAGTTTGTGGCCATGAAGGCAGCGTCATGGATCGGTTCTCAGAAAGGTGAGATCTCCATTCCAGACCGCATTCAGTCAGCGTTCATCAAGAGACGTTTCAGCAAATATCTTCAGTTCTGTGACACACACTGATGGTTTGAGTGTGTGTGTGTTTCAGTGGGAGATCTGTCTCAGTGTGTGTGTGTGGGGAATGTCCTGCTCGGATGTCAGGTGACCAAAGAGACTCTGGGAATCTGAAGACGTCAGTGTTTCTACATCCTGATCCGTCAGAAGACCAAAGAACCCTTTGTGTTTAATTAACCATTTCAGTGAGGGTTTTATTAAACTTGTGTTCTTTATTAGCTTAAATCAAGACCATGTTATTATACCGCATATTTTAAAGCTCATATGGAAATGTTTTGAAATGGAACAGAATTTGAATCAGATTAAACAAAACCTTTTCTTGTTTCTTATAGTTGTTGTTGTTGTTGTGTGTGTGTATCAGTGTTTATCTGAAGCTGTTGGACCGGTCCTCAATCACACTGAGGATATCTTCACACAGCAGCAGAGTCCTGTTTGGGTGTGACAAATGGTTACGTTCATACACAAACATGTTTGAAGTTAAACTTTCAGTAAATTAGAACAGCAACATAATGCTGAGACTATACTATTAAAGTAAAAAAGAAGAATATTCTCACTTTTATCATGCAATAAAAGGTAAAAAACACCATAAAATAGTCCAGCTTCTTCTGAAGCCATATAATTCACTTACATTTTTGGAATTCCATAACATGATGTCCCTACATGTCAATATACATTTGATTTAGATAAAGTATGTTAGCTTTTAAAATGATACATTTTAAATATATTTAAAGGAATATCACTTTGTGATACTTGATATCATATTCTCTCCATTCCACGATGGTCTGTGAAGGAGCATCATCTAGTGGTTCAGTTCAAAAAGGTATGAAGTCAAAAGGCACTTCCTCTAAGTAAGTTCTATTAAAGGGGTCATATGATGCGATTTCAAGTTTTCCTTTCTCTTTGGAGTGTTACAAGCTGATTGTGTATAGATAAGATCCCTGAAGTTGCAAAGACTAAAGTCTCAAAACCAAAGAGATATTCTTTATCAAAGTTAAGACTCTGCCACACCCCCCTAAAACGGCTCGTTCTAACACACCCCCACATATCTACCTCACTATGTGGAAATATTAGCATAATGCCTCCCAAATGTGCACACAAAGAAAGAAGGCGTGGTTTCAGTAACCGCAGTTAGTGTTGAAGCAGCCATGTCAGGGAGACGCTGTGTGTTTCTAGGCGAAAGCAAAAGCACTTTATTTGGCCTTCCGGAAGTAGATGCATTTAGGAATCTTTAAGATTACTTACAACAGAACAGCAATGCATTTTATGGATGACCGTTTCGTGAACCTAGGAGAGGAGGTAATTCTGACTTTGCTATGACAATCTAGCGCTTCTGAATCAGTGACTGTAAGTATGTTTTGTTACTAGTTTAAGTATTTGCTATTGACTGTTCAAATGCGGAGTTTTGCGCATCGTGTGTGTGTGTGTGAGCGCGCGTGCGGGTGTGTGTGTGTGAGAGAGAGATACAGAGAGCGTAACATCACAGTAGAGTCAGCTGTCTTAACCGCGGCTTGTGTACTGCATCATTACTGTGTCTGTTCCCCTTTCGGGCTTGAACTGATGGTAAAATTAATGATATTATTTACTGTCTTTACATTTATTTTGAAAGATGAAGCTCTAAGGGGCTACATTTCCGACGAGCGCTTGCGGTGTTCGGCCAATCACAATGCACTGGGTCAGCTGGCCAATCAGAGCAGACTGCGCTTGTCGGAAGGAGGGACTTTGTAGAAAACGAAGCGTTTGAGAGAGGCGGGGCATAGAGGACCTACAATAATGTACAATATTTGAAAAATAAAGTGTTTTTTGAACATTAAAGCATGTCAACATACTCTGTTACACCAAATACAC